ACAAAAATCAATTTTTTGGGTTTAGAAATAAATGAAGGTACTCATTGTCCTCAAAAGCATATTCTTGAACATTTACATGACTTTCCAAATGTTTTAGAAGACAAAAAGCAACTACAAAGATTTCTTGGTGTTTTGACTTATGCTGAAACATATATTGAAAAACTTGCAGCCATGAGAAAACCTTTACAGGCAAAATTAAAAAAAAGATGTCATTTGGAATTGGTCAAGTGCTGATACAGACTACATCAAAAAGATAAAGAAAGTTTTAATCAATTTTCCAAAACTTTATCTTCCAAACATTGAAGACAGTTTAATTATTGAAACTGATGCTTCTGATGAATTTTGGGGAGGTGTTTTAAAAGCTAAAAACCCCAAAAGTGAAGAACAAATTTGCAGGTACACCTCTGGCAGTTTCAAAGCAGCTGAGAAAAACTACCATAGCAATGAAAAAGAATTACTCGCTGTAAAAAGAGTTATTACAAAATTCTCTGTATATTTAACACCAGTAAATTTCCTGGTTCGTACAGATAATAAAAATTTTACTTATTTCCTCCGAACGAAGATCGCAGGAGATAACAAATTAGGCCGGCTAATACGATGGCAAGAGTGGTTCTCACGATATACATTCACTGTTGAACATCTCGCAGGAAACAAAAACGTACTGGCAGACTGCCTCACTCGTGACTTCAGGTATGCCTTACATCATCCATGATCTCACTCGCTCCTCTCGAGCCCTATAAAAGGATATGATCCTCATGACATATTTCCTCACAAAAAACTTCACCTACAAAAAAGAGAGGGGGAGATTAGAGAGAAAAGTAAACAAAAATTGAGTTTACAAAAATGGAAGACCTCAACATTTTGAGGATGAAGAAACAAATGCTCCTCATAGAGCTATCTGCAATTGAGCAGAAAATCAACTTGTATGAACAAGTAACAACGGTCACCAATGTACCGGAAAGCGAAAGCTCAAAAACAAAGGCTATTCCAGTGCAAACGGCACCTGGTAAAGAATCAACAAATCCGTTGAAAGCTGATGCTTTGCTAAAAAGCATAATAAAGGAGACAGCTACTCCTCTTCCTAATGGAAAAACTAGCTTATTGGTTGATCCCAATCCTTGTACTGAAGGAATCAGTAAAATGACAACTTTGTCACCCACTAACAAATCTGTGCAGGAGTTTACACCAGATTACAAAAAAGCTCTTAACAAAGAAGCTGAAAGATTTTATGTAATCTATAAAGGACCCCATGCCGGTGTTCATACTGACTGGGAAATTACAGAAACCTTCTGTAAAGTTGATAAAGTTACTTGCAAAAAATTCAGAAATGAAACATCTGCAAGATTAAGCCTTGCCACTTATCAAGACGATACAAGCAAGACTAACCAACCACTTCTTCGACCAAAAATTCAAAAAGTCAAAGAAGCCCACAGAGACCAAAGGTTTGACGTTCCAATTGACGTTCAACAAATGGTTAACTATCCTGAAATCTCTTTTGAAGATTTCAGAACAATCTGGAAGAAAGCAAGAGCTGCATGCCCAGAAGACCTTGTTCATGAAAAGTTTTTCACTACGGACAAGAAAACAAAAAGTCTGTTCAACTTTCTCGAAGGAGCAGATGCAAAATTAGTCTACCAAGCCTTTCAAGCTGGACTAATCGACAATATCTACCCAAGCTGCAACCTTCAAGAACTCAAATTCTTCCCAAGCAGCATGGTAGAATCCATTAAGAACTTTCGAAAGAAAGTACTTAAAGCAAAAGATAATCCGATCTACATCAGATGCATCTCTTCACTCCCAGAATGGATTCAAGAATCAACTCTTTCTCCATACCACTTTCTGGAAATTGGTCTTTCTAAAGCCAATAGAGAGATTGAACAATCTCAACCAATGGAAGATAAAGATCTACCTTTCACAGAAATTCTTCATCCTAATCGCATCAATGGTTTAAGAAGAATATCAGAAAAAATCATTGAAATTATCTCTGGTTCAAAAAAGAAGATTAATTATACCGATTCACATTGTATAATTACAAGCTGGAGTTACAACAACACCAGCCAAGAAGATCTTCGTCTAGCCTCCAAGTTTGGAGAAAAATTCATGAACAATAGCATGGAAGTATCCAATGCTACACGCCAACACTTCTGCCGACATGCAGAACAACTTTTCGAAGAACATCTTTGTCACTTTTGCGACATGCAAAGATTCGGAGACAAAGGAGGGACCCCCCTGCTGGATGAAGATCCTCTGAAGATGACATCCTCATCATCTTAAAGAAAGATGCTTCACGTGTCAAATGGCCCCGCCACTCAAAATAATAATGCCTTTTCTCCATTATTAGAAACTTTCCAGCTGTCCACAATAATGTAATCTTTAGTGGATAAAAACGTCATGTCTGACATAATAGGCAAGGATCAGACCCTCTCAATGTATCTATAAATTGAGAGTTATGTTTTGTTTTAGGGGGAGGAAGGACGAGTGCAACAAAAACACTCTCTATCTTGTAAATTTTCAGTTCAATGTCTTGTGAGTAAAATCTCCCTTAGAAGGGAGAGATGTAAAATATTGTAGGAGTACTCCCATTTCGGGAGCTCTTTTATCAATAAATCTATGTTTTGTTATACCTGAGTGTTCTTACAAATTAGAGTCATGAAACTTGTAAGTGACAGAGTGTCAGGTCGACGATGGTCAACAGTACCACAGGCATGAGGCCAACAGGGAAAGCAACCACACAGACCAATGAATGACACAGGCTGGCTTGAATAGTTTCTATCTATGTAAGTAATACTCATACTCCAAAACACTTATTGATTAATGAGTTTTCTCTTTACAATTTTGTGCATCTATTTCCTTCTAAAAACATTAAAAATAAGAAAAATTCCGTACACACAAAAATGGTATCAGAGCCTGGATAAAAATGGCATTACATTATAATAAAACACTTTACAGTGTAATTTTTGAAAGAATTCATAATAAAGAAATTGAAATTTCTCAACATAAAGAAATACTTTTCAATAATAAAAAAGATTTAGTGCATATAAATTTCAGAATTCTACAAGCACAAAATAAACATACTCACGAATATATACCAACCATGGTTAATATACGTAAGTACCTCCTTCATTTCAAAACTCAACTTTCTCGAAGGAGCAGATGCAAAATTAGTCTACCAAGCCTTTCAAGCTGGACTAAAATAAGAAAAATACCTATGAAGAGGCAAAAAAATGCCTCTTCTTCTTCTGATTCAGTGTCAGGTTCATTTATTTTAGTCATTCTAAAATATTGATCAAAAAGTTTGGGTTCTTTTTGATACAATTCTTCACATTCTTTAGTTTCTAATGATAAAAGTCGAATAAGTTTTTGGTCAGCTTTATCATAATCTTCAAATTGAAGGTTAAAGAAATATTTCTCGAGTTTCTCAGAGATTGTTTCTTTCATTTTCACTCTTTCCTGAAAATGTCAATTTTCTGGGAAATTTTTGAGCTTCCTAAGTCAGGGTTTCCAACACTAGGATTGGGAGGTGAGTATTTCTTAAGACCTGAATATTTTCCTGGCTTGGATTTTTGTTCTATGATGGAGATATTTTTGATGTGCTCAAGAATGTCTTTATTACAAGGGCAAGAGTTAATCTTTTCAGATAACTCCTTAATAATGTCTGCAATAATTTTTGCAGATGCTACTTCCAACTGGGCAATGGTTACGTATTTATTGACTATTAAGTCCAAGTTTATAATCAGCCCATCTATTTTTTCATTAAGGAGGTTGATTGATCTATTGAGCTCGGGTATCGAGGTCATCCTATTAGTTGTTTTAACTGATCATGTATATTAGTGATCTTAAGGTTGATTTCCTTAAGAGTGCCCTCAATATTCATCAGAAGCATCAGTTTCAATAATTAAACTGTCTTCAATGTTTGGAAGATAAAGTTTTGGAAAATTGATTAAAACTTTCTTTATCTTTTTGATGTAGTCTGTATCAGCACTTGACCAATTCCAAATGACATCTTTTTTTAATTTTGCCTGTAAAGGTTTTCTCATGGCTGCAAGTTTTTCAATATATGTTTCAGCATAAGTCAAAACACCAAGAAATCTTTGTAGTTGCTTTTTGTCTTCTAAAACATTTGGAAAGTCATGTAAATGTTCAAGAATATGCTTTTGAGGACAATGAGTACCTTCATTTATTTCTAAACCCAAAAAATTGATTTTAGTTTTGAAAAGATGAGCTTTCTTTTTTGAAAGTATTATTCCATATTTTAAAATAGTTCTGAGAACCTGTGTGACATGAACATAGTGTTCTTGTTCATTTTTGCTGAAGATCATGATGTCATCAACGTATACAGTGCAGATATTATCTTTGATCTTTGTTTCTTTGAAGCTTCAAGGAAACAAAACAAGTTTGTTTAATAAGGGCAAAAAAATTTCACATGTTAAATAGTACCAAAAAATTTTATAGTCAAGACAACTTATTTTGTAGATTTGAACTTTTTGTTTTTATACACAGGCATTTGTTTAAGCTACAAAAGATAGATTATCCTTACACAAGTAAGAAAGTTTGTGACCTTGTATAACTGAATGAGTAGTTTTAGCTTGATTATAAAGCTATATCTGGAAAGGAATGGATAATCATATAAATTACCAACAGGGTTGTTTAGTTTCAGATTATAATGCAAAATTGCATTAGTTAAAAGTTCAAACAAAGCAAACACTTTAATACCATTTAAATTGGAGCAAAATCAGTTCAAATTTAGAATCAGTGAGCTCCAACTCCATTTTAGAAGCTTAAACTGAAAATCCCAATGGAGATTATCAAAAAGAAGGAGTTAATCTAAAGAACTAAGACTAATCACAGCATAACAAAACCTAATCCTTTTTTTTATTTAGTTAGAATTCATACCAACTTTCTGGTGATTTGAGGCAGATATTGGTCTATTTGTTGTATACTTCTATTCCCGATTTTCATTCAAAGCTGAAGCCCAGATTACTTAATCGAAAGGCTATGAAATGCATAAATTACATACCAGATTGTACAAAGGAAGCAAGAACAGGCTCCGGCAGCGCCTCAGGATCACTATCGGGATCCGTATCACATCCACCTTCGTAGTCCCTCACGTACCATTCAATCACCTTAAACAACTCCGAATTGAAACTCACCTTTTTGGATCCAGACTGTTTGATTTTCTTGTAATCGGAGAGCAAAGAGTCCCACTTCCTACGACACTGGTTCAGGTTGCGATTCACGCCCAACGCGTTGCAATTCTCGACAATGATCTTCCATTTCTGGAAGGAAGCGAGGGTGTCGCCACAAATCAGCTTCCACCGCAGAGACCTCGTTGACCAGAATTAGGGATTCCTCCACGGTCCAATCGGGCGCCAGCTTCGATCGAGTACGGAGGGCACCAACGCCGTCGTGCTCCATGGTATGGTATGGTGAGTGTGATGAGTTCGATTACGCGCTAGAGATGCGTAGGATATCATATTTATCATGTATATTTAGTTTTGAATAATTATCGAAGATGCATAAACAAATGGGGATGTAGCTCAAATGGTAGAGCGCTCGCTTTGCATGCGAGAGGCACGGGGTTCGATCCCCCGCATCTCCATTTGATATGATAGTTTTTAACTTTTTTTTTTTTTTTTCTTGTAATTTTCAAAAGGACAAATCATAATAAGAAATAATGTACACATATTTTGGAGTTTTAATTTAGGGATAGTGTTTTTGAAAAATAGTTACCAACTAATGGTACTTTGAAAATTATTTACATATTAATTGGATTATTATTTAAAGAGAAAAGAAAACGGTCAGTTAATGCTTAAAATGGAAAGAATTACCCTCACACGCATTTCTCTTCTTTCCCTCACAAACCTCTTCTTTTTTTCTTTTCCTTGTGACTTCGTGATTTCGCCGTTGCCCCACCATTCGTCATGGGTGCCTCTTTGTCAGACGTAATTGGTTCACCATGCCCTTACCGTTTCCGACTCATCTACTATTATGTTTGTGCCCTGAAGGTTGATGAATATAGACACAATATTTGTGCAACCGGAAGAGAGATAAAACATCTCTAGCATGTTTTTGAAGTATTGATAAATAAAGTTTTGATAACACTTTGTTTTTGTATTTTTTATAAAAGATAAATTAAATAAGAAAAAATGTACATATACTATGCTAGTTTTCAACTTATTTATTTATTTATTTTTCTTTTTGTAATTTTCTAAAAGGACTAAATACAATAAGAAATAATTATAGGGAAAATGATGTGTAAAGGAAAGTATCAAAATTGTAAAAAAAAAAAAAAAAAAAAAAACAATTAAGTTTGTGTTTTTTTTTCTAATCTGATCATTAAAATTATACTTAATAGGTCATTAAAACACAATTTTATTGAATCTGGTAATCATGTTGCTTAGATTACATGACATGACACATAGTTCACGTAAGTTATACATACGAAGAATTAATGTTATTTTTTTTCTTTTGTTGATTGACAAACAAGGGCAACTAAAAGAAAGTTATGAAACCTTAGGGACTTATTTAAAAATTTGTTATTTGCAAAGATTCCACTCCCCGTCTCCTATTTAGGGCGTGTTTGGCACGGAGCTTTTGGAAGCGTTTGAGGTCTCCTATTTAGGGCGTGTTTGACACGGAGCTTTTGGAAGCGTTTGAGAGCTTCTAGCTTTTACCTTTTGACAAAACGTTCTAGTTTAAACAAAAAACTTCGTTTGGCAGTACGAGCGTTTAGCTTTTAGATTAAACAAAACGCTTTAAATCTAAAAGGTACTTCATGTAGCGTTTAACAAAACGCTAATGAGCTTTTGAAAGCAATTTCCATAATTACCCTTAAAAATATATTTATATATTTATTTAGTTTTAATCAATTGTCCTTTTATGTAATTTTATATATTTTAAAAGCTAACAGCTATTCTTGCCAAACAATCATATAACAAATAAAAGATACAGCTTCACGCTACCAGCTACCCGCTACACGCTACCAGCTACTTGCTACCAGCTAACCGCTACCCGCTTCCAGCTAACAACTACTTTTGCCAAACACGCCCTTAGTTCGCTGTTTGAACCTTGCTTCTCCACACTCCTAAAAGAGAAATTTCATTAAATGACCAAAAGGGAAATGGGTGTTTGAACGTTTTGACTATGAAAATTTGAGTTTTATAGAATGACCAAGGGATCCTCAGAGGGGCTCTGCGAAAGTCTTTTACCTTTTGAGGAATGTGAATAGTAACGAGGAAATTGAGGTGGCAAGGTAAAAAAAAAACAGTTTGTTGCATAGTTCCTCAAAAGGGGCTTTGAGGAAAGGTTGTTGAGGCTCTGCGAATCTGTTCTTCATCAGCACACCTCTGAGGAACTGTTCTTCGGCTAACTGTGACAAAAATCGGGATTTCATTAGCCGAAGAACAGTTCCTCAGAAGTGTGATGATGAAGAACAGATCCGCAGAGCCTCAGCAACCTTTCCTCAGAGCCCCCTCTGAGGAACTATGCAACAAACCATTTTTTTTTTGTCTTTTTCCTCTGCCACTTCAATTCCTCGTTACTATTCACATTCATTAGAAGGTAAAAGGTTTTCGTAGAGTCCCTCTGAGGATCCTTTTGGTCATTCTACAAAACTCAAATTTTCATGGTCAAAATGTTCAAACACCGCCTTTGTTTTGGTCATTTGATGAAATTTCTCCTCCTAAAACCCTAAAAGGTTGAATTCAAGAACAAAATTTATATTTCCGGTTTGTCAATAATATTTTACTTCAACAAAATTATCTTCGAACATTTTGCTAAGCTAACAAATGATAAATACAATTCCAAAAAAGAGAAGGAAAGAAAACAGAAATAGCGCACACGATTGATAAATGTATGGTCAAATTACAATTCCACAATAGTCAACCACTCATAATAAGTCAAAGATTGTGTTCTAAACTTGGAATTATTACCACAAGTATTCATCCACATCCACAGAGAGCGAGCTAACACAATACCTACTAAACGCATCAAATCAAAACAGACCAAAACAAGCCAAAAAAGAAACTCGGACTCAGTTTCTTTTTTCCCTTTTTGATCAAAAATCAAGTGATCCGGACCCCATCGATGGAGGAAGTCCCGAAAGAGACAGGTGGTCTCTGTGGATTCTTTCACCCGAGTTTTGGCCTCCTAAGGATTCCACTTCTTGCTTCCCGAGTTGTTGCACATCCTCAGGAGATAGTATCTTGATATACCACACACTATTTACAAATGCCCTGCATACACATTACACACACATATTTCAATAAATCTTCAACTAACTTAACTTTCGATTAATAAAGCGACTACTTACTCCCAAGGGTCGTCTCCAAGGAGAAGAACATCATTCTCCCTGTCAACGAATACAAGCTGCCAGCCTGATCTTTGAGGGTCTTCAAGCAAACCCTCGATCCCAAACATTTCACCCAATTCCTCACGCAGCTCATGGTAGCTGTTGAATCGGCTCATGTCCAATGACCTCCCTACACACCCCGATTTATAAACCTACAAAACACACACACCAAACATTTCACTTCGCCCAAATCCATCTACGTCTTTACTTTTTACAAAATTAGCAATAATACCTTCACAAATGTCCGGTTACGATTAGGGGTAGTTTGGTCAATTTGTCCTCCTCCTCCTCCTCCTCCTGTAGGTGTTAACAACTCGGAAGAGTCTTGCATGTAGTAAGGCATTGTGGACAAATCGGTGGTGTCGATTGTTGGAAGTAGAAGCCCGGATGAATCGATGTTAATTTGATTAAATAAATTGTGATTTTGTGTCGCATCCAAACTTGAAGATTCCTGATCAATGGAATTCGAACTACCTCCATCTTTCCCTTGAAAGGGTGAAGTCGAACAAGTGTTGACTTGTGGTTGACCAAATTTCGATACCCACGATTGTGTTTGACTTTGACCTTGACCGGTTCTTGAAAAATTTGGATCGGATCCCAACATGGTAGGAGGAGGAGGGGCGATATTGGAAGTGAATTTGGGATCCATGAAGTCTGTCTTTGGAAACGAAGGAGAGGGAATACTCGATTGCATCATGTTGTACGTCTCCGTGTATGGATTTTTGCTGATGTTGTTGACTCTCTTGGTTCTGAGTTGACCGTGTCAAATTCTCCAACATTTGACCATGACTATGAAGAAATGACGGATCTACCCTTTGCTGTGGGATGATCGACATTGACTGGTGGGTTGAATGTTGAAGGTATTGAACAGGTTGTTGAAATTGTAAGAGTTGTTGTTTCAAAGCATCGCCACTTCCTACACCCTGTAACCCTGCTGCTAATGCAGCTTGATACTGGTGGTTGAGGTTGGTTTGGAGAAATGACGGATCTACCCTTTGTTGCATCCATGGAAACATTCCACCAGATTGGAAGTTTAGAGAATTAAGTGCTTGCTCACCTGTTTCCCCTCTCAACCATGCCATTCCATTGACTGCATCATCTCTGCTGTCTCCTGAAATAAATAATTTCAAATTGAATATAAAAAAGATTTGGAATTGGAATTGGAATTGAAAGAAAGATTGATAGTTTCATACCTTGAAAAGATGAAGCTCCAGGGTACCATGGTCTTTTCAACCGAAGAGGAAACAAAGATGGATACATGGGAAAAGTTGTTAATGGTTCAATTTCCCATAATGACACACGTGGCTGCCTTTCCCCTGCTGTTGATTCATCCCATCCAACCTATAAAAAAAATAATGGTTGAATGGAATGGAATGGAATAAGGAAGGTAATGGAATCAGTAATTACCTTGACAGATCGCCAATGAGAATTGGGCCAACGAGTAGGATCTAAATCACCAATGCCAGTAATTGTCCCCATGTATCTGATTTATATTTAGATACAAATCATTCCCATGTAACATTAACATAGTACGAAACAAACATAAAGTTTGATTTTCATATGTTGTTGTGTAGAAACTAGAAAATTGGAAAAGAAATAAGAATACCTGCGTACACTTGATTCTTCAGTTTCAAACAGCATACGAAAACGCATCCCAACAGAAACACGCGTATGATACACAGCTTTCACATATTTCGAAAGGGGAATCACAAATTCCGAAGGACTAGCCCTGAATGGAATTGGAATCACATTTGTTAAAAAAAGTCAAAAACCAAAACAAAATACTAAATCATAAATTATTTAAATTCCACCTTGGATTGTAGAAGATTGTGAAGCAACTGTTAGTTGCAGCTGCATGAGCTGCAGCTGCAAGAAGACCAATATGCATACTGTCACTTGATAGAACAGATGATGGCATCACTGTTTGTGGGCGACTTGCTCGCCTGATTCCCAAAAGAAGCTGATTTTTCTCATTCCTGATTTTCATATCAACAGTAAAAGTCAAAATTTAAATAGTCAACTACTCAATTGCAATATCAAATTGATAAATTACCAGATGAAAAGAACAGAATCTCCTGCAACGAGTCTTTTTGCACTAACAAACACACTCCACCCTGTAGTGAGAAGATGGCGTTTCGGCTGCCCTGAATGTGAAGGAGAAGAAAACATGTAATGATTCAAGATTCAAGAATGAGAGTGAGAATCTTTACATTTTTTTTTGTAATATTTGGCTCATATAAATGAGAAGGGATCCAAATATCCAATACCTACCCCTGAAAATGTGTCTGAACTTCCATTCAACATCATGGAGATCTCTTGCAATAAGTTCTTGAGCAGGTGGTTGTTGAGAGAAATCCTGAAGGAAGAAAAAAAGAAGATGATTTAATTAATTTAGAAAAATGTGTAAGTTTTAAGTATAAAATAGAAGGAATAATAATAATACCAGTGGAGGGAAAACTTTTTCAGCAGCACGTCTAGGAACAGAGAAGCCACCATGGGTGCTTGTGTCACTAGCTGTTAATGTCTTGCAGAAGTAATTAGTTGGTTGTCTACTTGGAATTCCCAACTCAACAGGAAGAAATGTATCCTTCTGCTCTTGCTGACATCATATTACACAAAAAAAGAAAAAAATCAACTTTTTTTAATCCTCCAAATGGTGAATACATCAACATTGGTGATTTTTAACTTACGGGTGTCAATGGCTGCAATGTCATTTGAGCATACACTTCATCTGTCTCAACATCTGCCTGAAATTGCAACATGATCAGTCTTTCTTTGAGGATATGAAATTATACAAACAAGAAGTCAAGACCATATATATTTTGAGGATATGAAATTATGAATGAAAACACACATGCATTGTGACATTGTGGAGTTGGCAGATCAATTGAGGAGGAAGGCTTGGGTAGTTGGGAATGTGAGAATCGATTTCTTTATTTGTAGTTGCAGCAACCTGGTTTTCATTTTCAAGTAGATAGATTATAAGTCATCAAAATTAAGTAAATATATACACAATTTGGGTGAATAAGAAGTATATAAGAAGGAAGAAGGAAGAACCTGTTCACTATGACCCTGAGGGAAATAAATTACACGAGAGCCTACTGTCGGTAGGGAAACAAGAGGGCCTGCACAAGCATGCCATAGCTCCGAATTCAAGCTTTTCTTTTCTCCTTCAATAAGCAATAAGAAACAATCAATAAATTAATCCCCATAGACACACAACTTTAGGTTAAAATACTTGATTAATCAAGAGTATACCACGCGGCCATTAATGTATACAATATATACATGTACGTAAGAAGAATCCAAGAAAAGGACACTTACAGACATGAAAAGTCAAAAACAAAAACAAAAGAGTTGGAAGGAGATAGATAGATATAGATAATTAGATATGATATATACCTTCTTGAGGCTGCTGACCAGACCCTGATGTTGAAAGCTTCATATTATTTTATCTAAATCTTAACTTATTATATAAATATGTGTATTATTAATTAACTAATTTCATAAGCATGAGCTAAACGAATCCTCAGTGCAGCAGCAGCTTCTCGGGGCTTAACGATCGTCGAATCCTAAACCCCTAAAAACTGCTGAATTAACATTCACCTATCCTATTATCAGCTCAATCTCTTCCTCCACACTCTAGAACACCTAACCTTCACATGCATTATTCCAAAGCTAAAAATCCCCCCTCCCATAGCTAAAAAGCAAAACCCTAACTAACCGAGCTCAGAAAACCAGTGGTTGTTCTGAAACATCGCCATGAGTGAACTTTTGTCCCCGATCGCTATCGAAAAAGTTGAAAAAAATAGTGAAAAGAAAGGAGAGAGAGTGGAGCATGGAAGGGGGTTATATAGGGGGTGGATATTGGATCCCGATCCGACCGACCGTAGTCGACCTGAAGCAGAGAGTAGAGTAGAGAAAAGTGGAAGTGATAATGGAGGAAAAATGGATCAGAAGCGTAGGGAAATCCGTACCTGGAGATGAAGACCGTCGATTATAGAGGAGTGAGATGACAGGAGGCATGTGCCACCATCCTTCAGTGGTCGTTGTCAGAGTACGGACCTTCCGATTATAAAATTAAATTCCTATTTTCCATAAATTTAAATAAAAAAGATAAAGCGTATTAATCATTTTATTTAATTTTTTTTAATATTGCTCTTTATAGCAAACCTATTTTGTAGGCCTATAGCAAATCATTTTTTATTTTTAATTTTTAATATAATTGAGATTTGAGAGGAAATGCTAAAAAGGCATAAGTTACATTCCTAATCTTTTGAAAAATTACTATAGAAAAGTGTTTCCCACTAAATATTTTACTTTCTAATTTAAGTCATTTTGAGTTTTGACGGTTCCTTCGTATTGATTCATGACCAAGGGTTGTTAGAATTGAGGAGGGTATAAAGAAATAGATGGTTTGATAATTTATGGATATTTGGGCAATTTAGGAGTCGTGTAAAATTATTTTTCATATTGATATTTTCATTTATGTTCGTGTTTCTATAAATTTTATAAAATTTAATATGTGATAATCTTTAATGGGATTTTGTCGGATATAAACATTTTTTTGGGTTGAATTTCAAAAAATAGACACAAAAAATCGAATTTTCAGATATTGACATGGATTCCGCAGAGGTGAGCTCCAAGGACACCGTGAAATCGACTTAATCTCCGAGAAATCGATGTGACACAAAAAAAAATCTGAAGAAGCATTTCGTGGAGCTACCTCCGATGAATGAACTCATTACTTGGAGGTAGCTCCGCAGAATGGTTCTTCAATTTTTTTTTTCACATCGATTCCTTTAAGCTTATACTCATCCGCAGAGCAAAAGTTCATTCATCGGAGGTAGCTCCGTGGAATTGTTCTTAAGATATTTTTTTTGCCATATCAATTCCTCAGGGCTTATACTCATTCCGCGGAGCCCTCAGAGCTCGCCTCTGCGGAATCCATATCTATATTTGGAAATTCGATTTTTTATGTCTATTTTTTGGAATTCACCCCCAAAAAATGTCTATATCTCGCAAAATCTCATCTTTAATAACACTTTCAAATTTAAGCACAAAATTGAAAACATTGTTATCGGAAAGTACACGTTCATAATTTTAAGAAATCTTCAAATTGGCAAAAATATAAGTGAAAATACTCATACGTATGAAACATAGATAAGATTGACAGAACTTTGTGGTATTCTAGTGGAAAAATTCAGTTTTTGGAAATAAATGTCAAGCAACTTTAGCTATTTGGCAAAACTTATCAAATGATTGAGGCAACTGGGTTTATGTTGCCACCTACTTCGGTTGTTAGGAAACATGGTTTCTAGAGAGCATGAGAGTCTTCGACCATACCCAAAACCTACCTTATTGCCATTATTCTTTTATTCTTGTCATGTTTATCCATTGAAATTGTAACCGCCATAGGCTCTGCCCTTTGGGGATTCAAAGGGGATTGACTTGAACCTTTCGTCGTGCTCAGGATCAAATATGTCTTATATATAAATTTGCACTCAACATCACCTAACATATATGATATCACAGTTTTAGCCTCTAATTACACACGTTCTAATTATAATTACACTAAATGGATCGTGACACTAAATTCATCACAATTTTTTATAATACGACATAATGATACTAAATTTGTTGCACTTTTAATGAGGGTGCTTGCAACATCTTGGGTACCTAATATCAATCATCAAGAAAAAAATTATTATGATACACATTAGGTTTGAACTAAAATAATGTACTTTGGCAATCATGATAATATGGATTTGAGGGAAAGAAAGAAATATGAGAATAAGATAGTCTAAAAGGATCTTTTCGTTATTTGAACTAAACTTAAGGTATTTGTAGTTTTATGTAACGTTTGCAGATTGAGGCTAGTCAATTTAAAAATAATAAGTGTTAAAAATGACTTTTTAATAGAAGATTATTTGGGATAAATAATTTTAACCAAAGTCATAGTATATGTGACAAGGATTCCGTACATATAAAGAACGTTGAAATCTGACTTCATATGAAAAAGTTATGCTTCTTCGAAGTTTCGCGATTAAACCGAACGACTCTGCATATCGTAAAAAAAGTGAATTTTTGATAAATTACTTTTTAACCTTAGTAATCAAAACGAAAGTCATAGTAGTCATCAAACCAAAAACATGCATATCGAGAATGTCCAAATCTGACTTCGTAAGAGGAGTTATGGTTTTTTGAAGTTGCGCGGCAGTGCGGGCAGAGAAATCGAAATTCTAATCGGTTGATTGTTAGCCAAAACAATCTAAACAGGAATTGAGAATCTCATGAATATGAACCTATAGATAAAAAGATCATCGAAAACGGAGTCCGTATGTAGGAGTTATACTTGCTGTAGCGATTTCTAATAGCCTAAAGCCCTAAACCTATCAAAAATATAAATTTTTTGATAGATTGAGAATTAGTTGTTGGGGTCTAAAGGAAAGTTGTAGATCTCGTAAAGAGCTTTTCGGGAATATAAAGAACATCGAAAACGAAGCTCGTATGAAGAAGTTATGTCATTTTGAAAATTAAGAAATTGTGCTCACGGAGTCCGTGGTGTGCATGATGACGTGGCACAACAAGAGAGCGCCACGCGGCCATGTCGCGGAGCCCCTTTCTTCCGAGACATACCGACGTGGACCAAGGAGATTTTGACATGTGGCACCATAGGAAGGTGACACATAGCACCTTCTAGAAAAGGCATACGCAGACAAATGAGGCGACGACACATGGCAGAAGCCCAAAGGAGCCAACGGGGCCATAGGGCACGGCGCACTCCCATACATGTGTGGCACACTTGGATTTTCCTGGCTATAAATAGTGTCCTTCGTATAAGCATTCACCCCCACACTCCTACACACATTCCCTCTCGAGCAGTCTTCACTTTTAGGAAAATTTCCCTTAGTTTTTGTGTTCCGACGAAGCCCTGCGACACATTTAGTTATTCAACCAAGTAGTAGCCATCAAGAAGGAGACCTACGAGTACGATTTCTGGATTTTGGTCAGGAGGAACCTCTATCAGTTAAGCTACACTCTATTTCTTTCAGGTGTAACTTTTATTTATAGTCATAATTCGTTATTTTAAACCTATAAATAAGAATTATCAGTAAATTCAAGTTATAATACTGATTGATCTACTTACGGGAAAGATGACTAGAATGGTCATGTTGTCTTGGTTGTTGGATTTCAGAAAAGGCTACACGCCGAAATGGTCCTGCCTCCCAACTATCCTGCCTGGCTGATCCTATTTGATAGAACTATCGGTATTTATTGGAATGATTTGTAGGTCCAGGATATCATTAAAAACGTTAGACTAAGACTTTTTATTAGTGATACTAGGTCACGTCAAAGGAAAGGTCAAGTGTTAGAAACGAAGCGTTGCCTGAGTTTCGAATCATCACTTTAACAAGTGAGTGCATAGTTACTTTCATCTTACACATATATATGATGTATCTAATTAATTAATTGTTATATGTGCTTATGTGCAAAGATATTATGTGTTGGATGAAATGTTATAAAGATAAGATTATATGATTTATATTGTATATGTATTTTTATTATACATTGGGTAACGAGGGTAGTGAAAGATGCCATAGTACGACGAAAGATAGGGTGTCATAGTATGATGAAAGATGTAAGCAATGATAGAATGTCACAACTTTAGAAATGGTACTAGTGTGCCAATAATGTAGGAATGGTACTAGTGTATCAATGATGTAGTCACCTAACAAAGTATAGGTGACGACCACCAGACTATTCATGACCGTTCCGTGGAACACTGGAAGCGATGGAATTCATGCCTATTAGATGAATACTGACAGCGACGGACTTCATTCCTATTAGATGAATATTGGAAGCGATGGACTTCGTGCCTATAAGATAAACACTGGCAGCGATGGACTTTGTGCCTATTTAACAGTCCTGTGGAACACAGGCAGCGATGGACTTCATGCCTATTCCTTAGGACAAATCCTTAGGAATGAAAATAAAAAGAAATCTATTGACATGTATTGTGGAAAAATCAATGTAACCGTATTGTCAACAACGATGACTAAGATGACCCTTAGGATAAATCCTTAGGGAAGAATAAATAAGAAAATGGATATGGGTAATTGGGTTAACTGTTGGATAACTAAACATATTAACTATATTATTGTGGGTTGAAAACCTTATGTACTCACCAGATTTCCCAACCTGACCCATTTAGCTTCTTTGTATCGCATGGAGCAGTACAAAGTTACATGCATGATGAGAGATTCAAGGAGATGTAGATTGCTAATGTAAGATATTGTAAGACCTGTTTATGATTATGTTTTGTATCAGTTATGACACCCCAAGCTTTTTATAAATCAATGAAAAACATTTCTTTGGAAATACTTTTATGGGACCAAATTCCACATTTATAAATAAACTCTGTTTTAAATAAGCATAAAATAAAAAGTTTTAAAATGACCGTAAATTTAGGGATGCCACAGTTGGTACCAGAGCATTAGTTTAAGCAAACTAGGAATTTAGAGAATTTCTAGACTTAAACTTAGAATGTTAAACGATGATCATGAGATGTGTGGTAATACACCTTAATTGACACAAGCACTAGTTCACTTAGGACAAGATGCCTAATTTGCTTTTATGTGCTAAATGGTTTGTATTATAGCATGCCTTAGGTTGCCTATCTAAATTGACACTATTAGGTTTAAGGTCTGTTGCCGACCTAGAATTTGGAAATTTTATGTGTTCAATTTCTAAACGTTTAATTACGGTATTATAACTGGCATATAAGTTTTCGGAGTGATAAGGAGCGTTATACGTCGAAACCTTCCCTATTTATATTCTCGTCTCTATACACTAAACGGCTACTTTGGTGTATAGAATGTCATGGTGAGCACACGAAGAAGATTAGGAAACGGTAATGGGAATTAGCAGCCTGAGCCCCCTTAGTGGAGCTTGCACCCGAAGCAGTACCGATAGTTGAACTTTTCACAATGGCGATGATTAGGGATCTGTTAGCCGAACAGAGGGAAGAAATGAGATAGCTCGTTCGAGAAAATGGAAGAGAT